GGAGTACCGACGCAGGGTGTTGTGATGTTCTCAGGAAGCTATGTATAGTACCCTGCCGGCCCCTCCAACCAGCCATAATCTGCATTGAGCAGCCATGTCTTCAAATTTTTTGATGTCATGTATTTCTATGGTGCAGGCAAGCCGGCTACACGCACAATGGAAGCATATGCTGCTAATCTCAGCCAGGCTGCATCCAGGACCTCCCCTAACATTCAGAAAATGACAGAGGTTCACCTCCAGGCCTGCTCTGTCCCCTGCCCTCTGCCAATTGCACTGTGGTACAGATTATAATGCAGGACTCTAATGTTGAGAGGGTCTAAAGATGTGAAGGGGGGTCCTGATGAGAAAGAAAATGGCTTAGATGTGAAAAAAAAGTCTCCTTATAAGGAGGGGGGCTTCTTGTGTGAATTTCTAATGTGAGGGGGGATCTCTGCTTGTTTTTTTTGGTGTGGGTTTCCCCCTTACCCCTTCATGACTGAGCTTGTTTTTAGTTTCTGTTCGTAAATGACTGACACACTTTTGACATTTATGCTGTGTGATTCTTCTACGTCAGTAATATACTTTCTTACAAAGTGCACCCACACATATTATATATTGTTTTTTAGAGGACAGATAGGGCTACATATTTATATCACATATGTGTGTCTGCCTCACTTAGGACAAATAAAATATAAAAAAAAGAGGAAAAAACTTAAAAAAACCCCACTTTTTTCCCAGTTTTGATTTGTAGTATTTTTTACAAAACCAGCACAGCTAAAACAAAAATGCAATAAATACATTCATTTATTTGTCCTTTATTTTATTTTTTTACACTTTTTTTTTCTTTACACTTTTCACTATTTTTTTTTTTTACACTTTTCACTATTTTTTAAAAACTTTAAAAAATGTTATTTTATTTATTTAATGATATCAAGCAGTCATTGTGAATGAATCTCACTATTACTGCTTGATAAATTAATACATTTTTGGTTATTATTAGGCTGTTTCAAACTTCAGAACAGCCAATAATAAGTTAATGACACTGATCCTGCAGCAGTTCAGGATTCAGCTGTCACTAAAGGTTTTCTTGAACGTTCCAACAACAATCAGAAAACTAAAACATTCTTCTTTCAGGAATAGATACATTGTGTATCTATTCCTGAAAGTGAAAGAAAAAAAAAAGCCAGTATACGATCAGAGAGAGATATCTCTAGATCTATACGAGCTGTCAGAATGCCAGCTTTTGCCGGCATGTGTGCCCGCTCTGCTTTGACTCTCAGACACCCGATATTAAGGTATCAGGTGTCCGAAAAAGGTTAACCCTTTCATTAATGAATGCCTCTATACTGAGGCATCCATTAATGAATGGTAAGCGCTGATTCTCAGCGGTTACCAGCCCTCTAATGCAGCAAATAACTCGTCACGTACAGTGTACGTGACGAGTCATTTGGTCCCTTTGTGGCGGGACGTACAGTGTATGTCTCCCGTCACGAAGGGGTTAATATCCATCTGTCTAGCATAGGGTCTGGTAAAGATAAGGGGGAACCAAACTTAATTTTTCATATTTCTTTTTTTACATAGTATTTGAGGTTAAATAAAGACACAAGTCCATTAAGTTCAACCTTTGTGTGTGTGTGTGTGTTTGTGCATGTGTGTGTGTGTACACAAGTCCCTGTGTGATCTAGTTTTTAAGAGTACCTGTACCCCTGTATGTTATGGTCTCTGAGGAATGTATCTAAATGCCTTTTGAATGATTCAATACTCTCTGCTGATACCACTGCTTGTGGTAGAGAGTTCCAGAAAGTAACCGCTCTGACTGAAAAGAAGCCCCTACGCCCCTTGTGGTTAAATCTTTTCTCCACCAGTTTTAGCTGGTGGTTTCTAGTCTTTGTTATGGAGTTCACTGTAAAATGTTTATTGCTGATGTTGCCATTACCACTAAACAGTTTGTACAAACATTTTCTTTACACTTTAGACTGGGGTGCATTGAGAGGCGGGATTAACCAGGGAAGGCAAAATATAAGTTGATTAAACTTCACGTTAGGGGAGGAATATGTGTTAGGATAACGAATAACCATGGAGGATTTCATTTCAGAGTTAGGCTAGTGATGCTAGGCTTAGGCTAAGGGTTCATTTTCAGGGATTTATTTAGGAATTAGAGGGGTAGGTTAACTGGCAAGAGGTATTTCATATGGCAAATTAAGTGTTAAGGTTAGGAGATTTTGACCTTGATGATAATGGTAGACAGGTGGGACAAGGGTGTTTAGGAGGCAATTGTTATTTGTTTTTGACCCCAGAAGTGCTGCATCCAAACATCCAATGGAAGATGTCCGATTCCAGAAACTAACATACGGTCACAATAATGCAAGTTGACGTTATTAGTTTTTATTGCTGCTGTTCTGTGTAAGATGTCAAAGCATTATGTATCATATACAACGGCAGAAGTCCAAGACTTTGTCCTCAAGCCACCTCCCAGTGCCATCTAGGCATAAAATGCATAATTACCCGGCACAGACTTTTTTTTCCTATCAATGCTAAAGTCGTTTAACGTTTTCCTTTTTTAATCTACATTGCTCTTGTTAAAATGCTTACCAAGTCATTTGTAGTTCTAACCTTTTATCCAGATTAAATTGCAGTAATATGATAATGAATATGGTTGTGGGCCAGCTAACATCACATTAATATATTTATAGTGGAGCCTTATGTAGATGTCATGGCAAACAAGCGCACGGGAAAAATCATGTACCCTATAACCCACAGTGACCAATCCTATGTCGGCTTAGATTCAACTTGTGATGCCATTTGGTGGATCTATCTATCTATCTATCTATCTATCTATCTATCTATCTATCTATCTATCCATCCATCTTAATTATACATATAAAAAGAAAAACATGTTAATTGTCCTTTGAAATGACTTGCATAGCTGCCTGAAATGTGTGTTTAGATTTTATTCTGGAAATCTCTGCTGAGCAAAAATCAGACATAGAGGTCTAGTTATAAACAAGTGACAGAGCCATTTGCCCTGCTAAACTCTGTGAACGTTCAATTTGTGCAAATGGAGGCAATAATGTTCCTATATTTTCTTTTCAAGTTGAATGTAATATTATGAAAATACTGCGTTATGGCCACTTGTCTTTCAGTGATAATGGTCACCAGGACAAATAGAGGGGTTGAATCTCCATAATGGGGACAAAGGCAGCAATAAAAACTGGGTAGGGTGTTCTATTCCCTATTTACATTATCCAAAACGAAAAAAAAAAAAAAAGGTTTGGCTTCAATTGCACTTTAAAACAAAATGTACTAAACTTCGCATAAAGCAATACACATCAAATCTGTATAACACTTATGTATTCTTGAGTGCCAGTGAGTGGCTGTGATCAGTCCATTCCAATCAATGCCAACCAAACAAATCCTTCTCTTACTATGCATTGTCCTGTCCATCATTCTGTTATCTATGGATATCCCCGGTATATAACTAGCACGAGACACACCTGAATACACACTATATAGAGGAACAAAAAACTATATATATAAAAATAAAATGAAAATGTTTATTTCCTAGAAGCAGAAGGGTTCCTTGTTTACCCTCGCAGCTATTTTCCGAAACAATAAAGCTGCCTTATCCTCTCTACTTGCAACTAAATAAAAAGTAATATCAACACTAAAATACCTACAAACCAAGCCGTGAACCTTAAAAAAAAACACATTAGGTTGTCTTAAAGCCAAACGCCACAAATTTCTTTCTTTTTTTTTTTTAAATCCCTCCATCCCACTGTATAAAAAAAAGTTCCCAAGCTGTTCTCACCCTCTCGACATGTCCTCCTCCAGTCCCAGCTGTCACTCCAGCATCGTTCAACCCACCTTCTGTAGGCCAAGGGTGTCAAGGACTTACCCTTTGGGTGTGTGGGGAGGGCATGTTAGCAAGCTGCTCTAAGGTCCCATGATGCAGAGAACAATGCCCCCAACATACTACATGAGTTCCATTTTCTGGACCACCCACCACTACCAAAGGAAAAAGAACTTGATATAATAGCAAACATTAAATCTGAACTCCGGGTTAAGCAAAAATTGTCTAAATACAAGAGTCATGTGTATTCTTCTTGAGTCTTGGTGAGCTTTGTGTATTTCTTCCAGATCTGTGCAGTAATCTAGTGTGAAACATGGGGGCTTCCTGTAATAAAGACCAGTCACTGCTGCTCTCTCTCCTTGTGCAGAGTGACTGGCCTTGTCTCTGCCCCCTCTGTAGTTTTCTGCAGGCAGCCTGTAGTGGGTGGGCCTGCTGGGTCCCTCAAACAGTTCTCCTCTATGCCCAGGCTATGTACAGCCCGTTGATTATGTCACTGCTTTATATGTTAGTATCTAGTAGTATCGGCGGTGGATATGGTGGCAGTGGGGGATGCAGATTTATATCATCATTGGCTGCCCAACAGCCAAAAAGGATCACCACAGGACCTGAAAGTATTGGCAGTGGATATTGTGGCAGTGGGGGGTGCAGAGTTATATCACCAATGGCGAAAAAGGATCATCGTGGGACCAGGAAGTATTGGCGGTGAATATGGTGGCAGTGGGGGATGTAGAGTTATATCATCATCGGCCGACCAACAGCCAAAAAGGATCACCACGGGACCCGGAAGTATCGGTGGTGGATATGGTGGAAGTGGGGGATGCAGAGTTATATAATCAGTTGCTTCTCATTCGCCTAAGAGGATCACCATGGGACCAGGAAGTATCATCAGCGGATATGGTGATAGTTGGGGAGGTAAATCATCAGTGGTCACCCAATGGACAAAGAGAATCACCAGGGGACCAGGAAGAATCAGCGGTGGGTATGGTGGCAGTGGGGGATGCAGGGATGACAGCACAGAAGGAGGTAGTTGTGTGCCATAAAAAAAGAATAATTTTTTAATTTAATTTGTTACACAGAAAAATATTTACTTATAGTAAACATCAGTTTTTATTTATAACCTTTCAAAAATCAAATTAAAAAAATACAAAAATATTATTGACCCATACAGTACCTTCATTTCTACAGCTGCTGACCCAATGAGCAGCAGGGAGTCTCCATCCCAAACGTCAATCTGAAGAGTTTGCAGAGCCAGATAACGTAAAAACCAGCGCTGTTCTCCTGGCTTCAGAGATCCAGGATCCACCATGTACTTCAGCTGATAGCCCGGACAGCCTGCAATAAAAAGACAAATGGCACAATGAGCAAAATGGTGTTTGTAATAGCTATTTTGCTTTTTGTTCACTTTTTTTGTACTATAGACAGAAAGACCTATTTGCTATGTTAATAGGCCTTCCCAGTTTTTAGGTATATTGTAATAAATGTATATTATTCACCTGTAAAAGCCTCCCTTGTGCTGACATCCAACAGCCCTGACACTGCTGCTGGTTGCCACCATCTTGGTTGTGACGTCAGCAGCCCCAAGCAGGCTCAGGGTTTTCACTCAATTGACACTCTATAGCAAGGGTAGCCAAAGTTTGGCCCTTTAACTGTAGTGAAACCACAAATCCCATAAGGTATTGCAAGACTCTGAAAGCCACAGGCATGACCTCCAGAGGGAGATACATCAGCTAGACGGCTGGGGTTTGGCTACCACTGCTCTATAGTTTTCCTCATCACTCCTTCCCCAAAGCTACATGAAGGGTTTTGTAGAGAGGGGGGATAAAGGGCAGAGGAGCTGGGCCAACACAGAGAATAATTAGATACTCCTGAAGAGGAAAGAGCTATGATGTGCAAGACGGGAGGGGCTGTGCTAGGGAATTGACTCGTCCTGGACTACTCAAATTATTGCAGGTTCAAAGGCTCATTGTAAGTGAATTAAATAAAAATGTATGGAAAGGAAAAAAGCTGCAATCTCCAATCTTGTATGTCCTTTCCAGAAATCCATGACTGCATCTCACTGACTGCTACAGGCCAAACCACCAATGGAAAGGAAAAGAGACCAGAAAACAGACACTCGCCCTGGTTTATCGAGCCGTCCTTGTTAACCGACACTATCACCCGGGCTGGGGTTTCGGTCCGCGATGCCCCTTTAGAGTGAACTTGTACTAGCTGTAGGCGAGGAGTCGTTACTGGCTGGAATCGGTAGAACTGGAAGGTGAAGTAAACGGTCTGCGGCCAGTTCATTGGCAAGTTACGTTCTTGTATGCTAAAAAAAAAAAAAAGGAAATCAGTATTTATATTATCTAGTTTGTAGGTTGGAATAAATGTTTACCAAAAAAACCCGTGTACTAATGTGCTAATAGTACATTTATCAATATATCTAGAAGCTGTGTAAACAAGTTGAACAACTCAGGATGGAATAAATGGCTGTATAATGTTGGATTATATTTGCACTATACACCAGCGGCTGATGGGGCATAAAGGAATGATTTGCATGACTCCTCCCACTTTCCTGAAATGACTAATCATCCTCCTATGTTTGGGATATGTGATGCAATGAGACATGTACATACATTGAGGGGAATTTATCAAAACTGGAGCAGACAGAACCTGGAGCAGCTGTGCATGGCAACCAATCAGCTTCTCTCTTTCATTTTCAAATTTTAACTTAACAGACTGAAGAGAGAAGCAGATTGGTTGCCATAGGCAACTACTCCAGATTCTTCTGCTCCAGATTTGATGAATTCCCCTCCGTCTGCTCTAAGAAGGATTTATATTGCTTTGCACTGATTGGGTTGGAGGACTTTTTAAATTCCTTTAGTTCCTTCTCACCATAACCTGATACTGTCTTGTTGGGTCCCAAGCCCTACTCCATGGAATCCATGGCTTCCATACACTGCACTGATGATAGTCAAAAAGCCTGGAAAAGCTGTATGCAGTTTTGGAATAATTGGCTCTATTGGGTCCCAAGCCCTACTCAATAGAAGCCAAGGCTTCCATACACTGCACTGATGATAGTCAAAAAGCCTGAAAGAGCTGTATGCTGTTTTGGAATAATTGGCTCTATTGGGTCCCGAGCCCTTCTTCATAGAAGCCATAGTTGCCATATACTGCACCGATAGTTGCCAAAAAGTCTAAAACAGTTGTATGCAGTTTGGAATAATTGTCTCTATTGGGTCCCGGGCCCTTCTCCATGGAAGCCATGGTTTCCATACACTGCACTGATGATGCTCAAAAAACTTGAAACAGCTGTATACTATTTTGAATAAATAGCTCTATAGCATTAGGTAATATTTGACTATACATCAGAAGTTCTAGATGTGCGTCTGGCTGATGGGGCTAAGAAAAAATTTGCATGGCTCTGCCCACTGCCCTGAAATGAGGAATGATCCTCTTATTTTGGGATAGGTGATGGATTGAGACATGAGAGTATATTAAGAAGGTTTTATTGTGCTACGCACTGATTTGGTTGGATGTTTTTTGGATTCCTTGAGTCCCTTCTCGCCATTACCTGTATGGTTACACTGTCTATACACATTATCCCCGGAATATAATGATAAAGCCGAACCTCAGCTCAGACACACAGACAGATACCCAGAATAAAGTCCATTCTCACCTGCTGAAGGCCAGGAACTGCAGGACTATTTCATTGCACTGCAGATAATCAGCTTCTTCTCTCTGAGGGTTGAAGTTCACCGGACTCGACGGATCGTCCACTTCCGCCACTTCATTATTGCAGTCCAAAATTTCAGGGAAGCCGACAGAGTGGAGACGGGCCAGGGCGGCTCGGGACAAAATGGAGGTAGTGCTGGGAAGAAGAAAAGTAATTCCCTTTAGAGGCTACCAATAAGAGGCAAGTATATGAACCCCCTTTAGTTTCATGTTACATTGCTTCAAACATCATTCATTCTTTTATGCCTTTATAATGACTGAAAGTTGAAATCAGGCCATAAACATGTTCTAATCCACATTTTAGGCCTGAAAAATACTTCCCCCCCCCCAACCCTGAATTATATATGATATTAGTGCAACTCAATCAAACCCCAAATTTCAGTAAAAATACACTTAACTTAATTTTAGTGCACAAAAGCACCAGATAATACCACATTGTTTTGTAAAATATAAAAGATGAGGTTGTGCCGAGTAAATAGATTCCCAACATGCAAAGCTTAAAACTGTGGCTTAAAATGTAACTTTATTTTTTTGATTAAATGCATTGTTATCACATAGGGGAGCCTGTGTGACAGCACATTGGAGGTGACAGGTTCTCTTGAAGGTGACATTAGGGGTCTAATGATACTACGCAGATTGCCGTGCAGTCACGGCGTCGGCCACCATCGCCAAAGTTCAAAGCCCATTTCGTGTGCACCTTACTGTACAACTGGTAACAAATTGTTGAGTGCGTTTGTCGTTTGTTTTGCTTGTTTGGCCACCATCGCCAATCGCGCTGATGGTGCAATTTTTTTCTAACGTTTTCCCTCCCGCGATTCCACCTGTGCAATCGAACACAATCGCGGCTAAAACAGCTGCACGTCATACGTTGCAAAAAAAGGTATACGTACCCTTTTTTTAGATTACCGGGCGGATGTAACCCCATTGATTTAGGCCGCGCGGCAACTGCGGTGTGCAACTGCACCAGCCCTCAAGAATATTTAAAGAAGTTGATCAAACACAGGTCATGCTCGGTCAGCTACTATATAGTGACCTGGTCAACCGGGGACAGATAGTGACCTGGTCAACCGGGGACATTCCAGCTTCTATAGCCGGGGAATGACAGCTGACAAACCAGAAGTGATGCAATCAGCATTGCTTCCAGTTGTATTCAGCGAGGAGGAGATCAGTGATAGGGGAGCATTCACTGGTCTCTCTCCCTGCTACTCGGCAACACCCGCGATGCTAATCCCAGGCCCGCAGGAGGGTCAGCAGAGCCCGGGAAGAAAGGTGGGGGGATGTTGTATGGGGTTATGGTGACTCTGTTTACTGGCCCCTAGAAGTGATCTGTCAGGGCTAGTTGACACTAGCCCCAGTGCGTTCCGGCCCACACCCAAACACGTGCCACATCAGTGCCTGCATTCCGTTCCAGTGCAGTCAGAAAAAATAGCGCATGCAGCATTTTTTATGACTGCACCGGACCGGAATGCAGGCATTGATGTGCCACACGTTCGGGTGCGGGCGATCGCATTGCGGCCGGAACGCACTGGAGCTGGTGTGGACTAGCCCTGACAGATCACTTCTAGGGGCCAGTAAACATGCCATTGATTTCATTGCACCGCCACGCCCAGTCCCACCCCAAAACAAGGTGAGCCGGCTGAAATACGATCAAGTGCTTTCCGGCACCATTTGGGCCGGAACGCACTGGAGCTGGTGTGAACTAGCCCTCAGCTTTACACAGGGATCTGTTAGCAGCAAAACAGTTAAAGAAAAATATTCTTTCCATGTACAATGACCGAATGAGCCACATTCCCAAGTCAGTCCGCCATGTCACCCTAAGTGGCAGGATCATATGGGGAAAATAAAAGGAAAAAGCCTGAAAAAAAGAAAACAAATGCATCCACCATATCTAAGGACCGGTAACATTCAATATATGACATTTTTGTTGTCAGGTTTATATATACTTTATATGTATCTGACTTTTCCAGCTCACGGACCATGGCAGGATTCCAGCAGAGTGTATATTAGTGTGTCGGGGCCAGATAAACACATAATTTATGACACACTTTGCCTTCCCTGTTTCCAAATGTTATCTGTGGCAGATGATGAATGGCTGGAGTACAGTAACTAGATCCGTGTACAGTTTCCATAAAGAGAATGGTGTCTTCCCATGCAATATATGGATCACGGGGACATACATTGTAGAACTTCACTGCAGAAAAATACGGCTGATTTCTGATCACGTCAGGCGTGTATATGGATATAAGTGTATATATTCATACAAACACTCTTCTGCCGGCTTAAAATGCATGTCCAGCTCAAACCTTTTTTATTTTTTGTATATAATAATCGAGAAATTAATCTTTAATTTCCACAGCCCTAATATATATATATATATATACACATATAGCTGTGGTATATCCTAGCACTGTGTAATATCATGAAGCCAGGGCAGCATGACATAATATAAAAGTGGTAACACTGAGTAAATCTGAACAGACTGAGTGAGTCAGCCCGCTTGGCATTTTGTACAAACACATGGCAACTGCTATTTCTGTTTTGCGAACAATCCTACATATCATTCTCTTAGTGAATCAGATGATCTCTTCTACTAGAGGTGACAAATCCAACCTGAGAGTATACAGGGAATCGTGCATTGAAGTGTCTGGAGGATGAACACTCCTCACTGCCCAGAGCAAACAACAATCCTTGTGAAGCAATCTGTCTGCAGGTGTGCAGAGATCAAAGGGGAACGTCAGGGGATCCGCACCGGGATTAATCCATCAATCAGATGCCATGTAACCTTTATTCAGCAAAGTTCACGCTGCCTGCTGATTGTAGAGCTATAGGTCTACCACAGACATGTTGGACCTATGCAGAGAGGCCGCTGTTGCCACACAGAGCGACAGTCCTTCTTTGAAGCATGCTGGCAGGGAATAGGCTTTTGTTTTGCTCAGGTTGTAGAAGCTTTCTAAAGAAAATGTACTTTGTATACTTTTAGTTTTGATGCACCTGGAATGTACTTAACATATTTATTTATTACAGGTATTTACAGGTGAAACTCGAATAATTAGAATATCGTGCAAAAGTAATTGCAGTAAGTGCTGCAAAAGGGGCCCAAACCAAGTACTGAGTACATATGCATGCTTGTACTTTTCAGAGGTCCGATATTGTTCTATGTACAATCCTTGTTTTATTGATTGGATGTAATAATCTACTTTTTTGAGGTTGTGGATTTGGGGTTCTTGGGGTTTTCATGAGCTGTAAGCCATAATCATCACAATTATGACAAATCACGGCTTGAATTATCTTGCTTTGCATGTAATGAGTCTATCTCATATATTAGTTTCACCTTTTAAGTTACATTTGTGAAATAAATGAACTTTGCACGATATTCTAATTATTCGAGTTTCACCTGTATATAGTGCCAACAACTTACACAGCGCTTTGCATACTGCACATTCACATCAGTCCCTGCCCCAGAGGAGCTTACAATCTAAAGTCCCTATCTCACATGCATGCATACGAGGGCCGATTTAGACGGGAGCCAATTAACATTCCAGCATGTCTTTGGAGTATGGGAGGAAACCGGTGTACCTGGAGGAAACCCACACAAGCACAAGGAGAACATGCAAACTCAATTCAGATTGTGACCTGGTCAGGATTTGAACCGGGGACATTCAGTGCAAAACAGAAGCGCTAACCACTACGCTGCCCGAATTAAACTGAGTTCAATTAAGCTTTAATGATTGTGCTATGCGGTGATGTTTGGGCTTTAAAGGGATGATCTCGTTGGAGGGATATTGTCAATGATTATGCCTCTACGGGCTCCAATAAAGGAACCCCAGCCATGTACAGATACATGAAAATAGTGTCTACCTTGCTTCAAGCATAGCTGCCCTCTGCCCATCAGCACCATGGAGAGCTCCAGGGCTGAACAAAAGCTTCTACAACAGGGGCTGTTCTATCAAGATGCCCAACTTGTCGAGCTCTCCAACTCCCGTCAGTGCGCCTGCTTGGCCACCTAAGAGCAGTATCACATTCTCTGATTTGTGTTAGTGCGCCGGCGCGGGCATCCGATGGCACAAGCAGTGATGCCAGTTGGAGAACTCGATGAGGATTGCGAGGCCGCACAGGCGCAGATAGGGCAATTGGGCAAGTCGACGAGGCTTGGAAAAATGCCAAGGCTAGCGCACGCGCACTAGCGCCATCTTGTCGAACGGATGTGACATTACGAGTTGCAGCAGTAGCAAAAATTGTCACACAGAGATCATAATTGGATCTGTATTGTTCTCGAAAGTGCCCCTTCATCATTCTCCGTCATTCTGAGCCTGATGAAGGGGTACTTTCGAGACCCCGAAAGCGCTTGTAATTGAATGGCAATTTGTCACTAAAGTTCTTTTTGCTGAATTTCTCCTCGGTGTGCTGGTGACAATTTTTGCTACTGCTGGATTGTTCATGGTGCCGTCCGTGGTCGCTACAAGCACCCACCTGCTTCTGCAGGTTTATTATTATTCCGGTAAGGAGTTCAGCTGGTTTCCTACTACATTACAAGTTGGAGATCTCAACGAGTTGGCCATTTCGACAGAACAGGGGCACCCAAACTATGGTCCTCCAGCTGTTGTGAAACTACAAGGCCCATAAGGCATTGCAAGGGTCTAGCAGCCACAGGCATGACAGAGGCCAAGGCATGATGGGATTGTAGTCTGTACAAGGTTTAAAACTGTCCAGCTTCATCATAAGTCACCTGACTTTCCTGCTACAATCATATTTGTCTATCTATAAATGTTCTTTCCGCTTATCTGTTCCTCAATTATTGAACAATTGCATTTAAAATGCAGAAAAAGTACGAATAATCCGGTTTATTAAAGAGATCATAATTGGATCTGTATTGTTCTGTAGTGATTCAAGTCGGTGTTGAGGGAGACAAACTTAAAAGATTGGCAGAGCAGGCTGAGCTCAAGGGCAGGAAACTGTTCAATAGCAATAGCTGGAGCTCAACCACGCCATGCAAACACTGATTTATATCTTGCATCCCGCGCCGTTCATCTGCTGAGATATCAATGTGACTTTTTCAATGATATCTCGGTGCTTGCGGCAGGAAAGGTGCATGCTTGGGACCTTCTCCAAGCTGATGAGGGGGAGGTTTGTGAGTATAAGGACTCGAGAACATTAATATAGAGGATTAAAGCGGAATTCTAGGCTATAAAGAAAAACTACAACTTAAAGGCAATCTGCACGAGCACCAGGGATTTGCAGGCTTTTATATCCAGTACCCGAGATTGAGGGATCGAAAGGAGTATAAATAGGATGGCGGGGTACTTTGACACGTCTGATTTAGATACTCATATCGCTCTTGGGGTTATACTAGGTCCCTGTTTGTAGTGCACAGGATGGGTCTCATATATGCCTCCCTCTGTTAGAGACTGGGTACCCGAGTTCTACATATCTCTTAAAAACACGTACTCATGAGTACAGGGGAACACTTAATACATGATGATATGGTCTAGATCAGCACCCTTTCAAAGTATGCAAAATGTTGAGACCCCCCAGTCTAAAATGTAATAAATGACATGCGGTCCCTCCAAAATCCATACCAGACCATTATCCAGATAAGGGACTGGTAAGGATTTAAAGTAAAAGGGGACCACATACAAAATCACAAAGAAATAGGGACTCCCTTTTCACATCCAAGTCCCCCCTTCAAATCAGAAGCCCCTTTAACATCAGATGCCCCTCTTTCATATCAGAGATCCTCTACCTGCAGGTCAGGAGCGCCCTGGACACCAGAACCACCCCTTTCATATCAGAGACCCCCGTCACAATAGGAGCCCCGCTTTCATACCAGAGC